GACATTTGTTTTGCTCATGTGTCAAGAAAGAGGCTCACTGTGTGTACTGAGAACCACAGCATAGCAGTTGCTGCATGTACTTGGTGCTCAATTGGAAAAAGTGGGTTGGAATCTAGCTCGCAACAAGTTCATGGTTACATTCCCCTTCTCTCTTTGCACATTCAGTGCTCAACGAACAAAACAAATGTCTATGTAAATCATTTGTAGTACTGTTTTTGTTGTAATTCAACTGAATAATTGCATTCGGTTTACATCTAGTTCACAACTAGTTCGTACAACCAGTTTTAGATCAGTTGCTTGCGCAAGAATTTATGCAAAAATGTACATTCTCATGGTGCACAGGTGGGAAATTTGAGACTGAATCTGGCTTGCAAATGCTTATTTTCACCCTTTCCTCCCATTATTTTATTTACCGCCTCCACGTTTTCTCTAAAAAAAAAAAGTCTCAATAGACTTTTAATCAGGTTAGACACCATATTGAATTTAACATGGATGAAAACGAGGCTGTGACGGATAGACCTAACAGTTTTTACAGTGGTATGCGCTAAATAAAGGTACAAAAATCATGCTAGTTTTACAACTCAAAATTGCTTTGTGGAGTTCTTGTCTACTGAATGTTATTTTTGGAAAGATATTTCATCAGCTAAACAATCGATATGTTGTTAGACAATCCAGTACAATCCACTGAACGCCCTGTACTTCTATCCTTCACAGCTTCGTTTTCATTCCTGTCAGAAATTAAATATGGCGCTACCCTGACTGAAGTCTATAGGTGCTTCAAAAAAGTGTGGTGGTGTAAGTGACTTGCTTGTTCTATGTGCACTTTGAGTATACCTGGCAAATCTTGATTCACCCAATCACAGGAGAAGTGACTGACTTCACCACCAGACACCAGCCCTCAAGATGCCAACTCGGGGCATGCAGCTTGGGAGCTGCAGATAGGCCGAATGCTTGCTCCGACTCGAGAGTATGCAATGCCCAGGAGTGCATTAAAGACTTCAGCTGCATTTGTTGACTGACTTAGGGCAGCTCTGCTGTAGTAGCTTAATGATAGCACCTTATCTCTTTCTTAACACTTATTTTCTAGTGGGCAAGACAGACCCGGACTCACTTCCTTTGCAGTCTGCCGAGTGGAACAAACAAAGTTTAAATAAGCTATGACTATGTAAGGTTAGCGGATGCCTGTGGCAAAATTAAATGTTCTGCTGACCTTTGTCCTTGTAGCTACACTGTGGATGAAAGCCTCATTACGCCACAAACCTATTTAGATGAGGCATGCTATTAGCCTTGATGGAAGACAATAAGGACAGACTCAAAAGCCTCTTCTGGATCCGGATTGATACATGTTATTGTTTGTCTGCTGATGGCGAACTGTCTGATTAAATGCTAAGCTGCCTCATGTGAAGAATGTCAAGTAAGGATGCTAATGATTTTGTAAGGGATGCAGAACTTTTGCCACACAAATGTGCTGCAGCCTGTTTGCACCAAGACTGATCAGGCAACAATAGTAACGGCTCTAAAAAATTTTCATATGCTATACCTGAGATTGAATTGCTCAGAGAAACTGGTTAAACTAGTTACTAGTTATACCAGCATACTAGCATCACACTAGAAAGAAAGAAAGAAAAAATGTGAATCCAGCTAACAAGTAACATTCTCAGAACGTTTTCTAACATTCTGCCAAGGTTCTCTCAAAGTTACAAACAAATGTTATTTTCAGTGATGAAAAAATAACAAATGTTCTTTCAGTGATGTTAGTAGAATGTTTGTTCAAAGGTATCTGATCTGTAATTATGTTCTCAAAACATTAACACAAAAAACATCAATGTTGGTAATTGGTAAATGTTGGTAATTGAGCAGTTCCTGGTAGTCACCAGTGTTGGGCAAGTTACTTCCAAAATGTAATACATTATATATTACTAGTTACTGTCTTTTGAAAGTAATTAGTTACATTACAATATCACTGTCTCTGAATTGTAATGCGTTACACTACTTTTGAGTTACTTTCACCAAAATATCCACAGAAGTATTATAAAATGCCAAAATGTAGTTTATTGCTGCTCATTCTACACCCAGTGGAGGGTAATGTGGTAGGTCTATATCTTCACATGAGCAAATGTGTGTTTGGCCCGAGCTCAGGCTGATCGTCACGGATTGTACTACACAGTAGGCTATGCACTATTTAAATTAACCAGTGTATCTATATGTTTGGTTGACTATTTTATTCTGATAATGAACAGGCTGCAACATTTGCAATGCTGTATGTGTGTGCGTGAGTGGCCGGCGCGATCGAACAGCGGAAACAAACAACTGTTATTTTTGGTCATACATATCATTCGAAACTGCAATGTGTTTACTTTTATTTCTGTCATCTCGGTTTCCTTTCCGTGGACTTTCGTA